TCGTCATGTGTTCGTGACAATGGAATCGCGAGGGTTCATGCATAAATGCGACGTAACAATAAACAGAGCGGTCCCGGCTGAGGGCGCGGGGGATGAGGCGCGGGAAGGAAGTGGCCCTTCAAAAGCCATCATAGCCGGAGGATCAGAAGCCGATATGAGATTCGGGTGTATATGAATGATATATCTCGCGCTTCCACGCTGCGCTACTATTTCTATTGCGAGAGCGAGTAAGAAACCGCAACAATGCTTTACTCTTTGAAAACATATACGCACATTGTATATATCGCGATATTCATTCTTAAAATACTATCATCTAAGAATCTTTTGTAAATTATATTATATTATATAATTATTATTTTTGGTTGCCTTACATAATATTAAAATATTTTACGTAAAGTACGTAAAAGCAAATTAATACTGAAACAATAGTAACTGACAAAAGATATCTTTTTATAATTTAATTATTATTAGAGAAATTCTCTAAAAAATATATTATGTTAAAAATTAAAAATTATTTACATAGTTCAAATTATCGATTAATGTTAATATAATTTTTCAATCAAACCGACGATATATTTTTTTTACCATATTACAAAAATTTGTATTAATTTTTATTAATTTTAAACATATACATATAACGCTCGCAAATAAAAATCATTGTAAAATATTGTAAAATAATCAATTGTGTTTAGGAAACTTGGCCATTGCTTTCAATCTCGAGAAAACCTGTTAACTTCCGCGTACAAGATGTAGAAAGTCGGTTACGTATACACGTAAGACAACGCTGGAAACGCTTTCATAAGAAGTGCTGCACGTAATTGTATATCTCGTCCCTTTCATCTTACAAACGCAGATTTGATCCGAGAAGCGAAATAAATCCTGTAGGAGGATAATTTTAATAGATGAGACGCAAGCATTTATCGACAAACGCAAACATATGTATGTATGCTATGATCAAGGAGTATATATGTAAATCCAAGAAGGTGAAATCTTAAAGGTGATGCGCGGCATACGGTTGCCGGAGGGAGTGCAGTAATAGTTTATGAACTCTGCTTCGCACGTGCAATCACGGTAATGCTTAGAGAAGACTCTGGTTCTTTCGTTCTTTTTTTTTAATCTTTTATTTTGTCGTCTCGTTCTTCACAAAAATATTTCAACATATGCCCCTAAAATATGTGTATTATTTTTGTACATTTCTCAGATAAAATGTTAATATTCAGTGCGCTTTTATAAAATAGCTCAAGACACATGACAAAGAAAAACATGGTTTGGTATGATTTGATTATCTGTGCAATACGTATTGATTAAAGTATACTACTTGTGTATACATTTTCTAATTTAAATATATGAAATTTGTAGTTTTTAACATTTTCATTAATAAAAATCCAATTTCACAAGTTGAAATAAAACATTTATCATTAGACTTTGATCAAATAGAGCATTTTGCATATCATGTATTTCTGAATTTCTCATTACTGATTGTGAGTGGAGCTTGAGATACAAACGCATGAAGAAAATAATTGTCAACCTCTGAACATTGTAAAAAAACGTCAGAAATGCATCAAAACAACCTAACGAGTGGTTACATGTTCTAATAAAAAATTTCTAGTTATGTCATTAAAAGTCGCAACGCGCACTATTTTCTTTTCGTAATAATCGAGATCAAACGAAGCGTGACGTGCTACATTTCTCAACGAAGATTTCCGCGTGCCACCACCCCCTTTATCGAGGTCTACGAGAATGGTGAAGGGAGCCTCGTTTGCAGAGCAAGTACGACCCGTCTGCCGGATTAGATACTCGTAAACTCTTACAGGTGACAGGAAGATGAGGGGCGCGGCGGAATAGCACTCAGGTCCGTAAAGAAGAAGCGGAGAGGAAAAGAGGGAGGGAAGGAGAGAGGGAGAGTGGGAGACGAGGTTGATGGCACGCGGGGACCGAGCTTGCCTCGAGTGGCGAAACGGCTGGAAGTTCCTTTCATGTAAAGTAATTAACTACCGGCAACCGTTGACAAACACCTTACCCTCGTTCGCGGACCTCCCGGCTTCGAGTATCCTGACGTCGTTTTCCTGGCACGAACCCGCCGCCATCCCCTTTTACCCTTTCAAGGGAGGAAATTTTTGTATTTTTCATCAGTCCTCCAACCCTTCGTTTTCCACGCTGCTCTGGTCGCTAACTTGTCTGGCTTTATAGCCTGCGTTGCTTTTCGTCCTTGAGGCTTCTCTTCTCTTGCATTAAGCTTCTATCATCTTTGATCCTCTTCGGCTTTTGCGCAAACCACTGGCCGAGGAAAATCGACCTCGCCCTTTTGTTTTATGAGGCCCTTTTATTGTCATATATTCTCAACAAGAAACCCGTACTTCAAAGCGTTGGAAAAATTGTATGCGCGTGCAATTTTTCGTCTTAACGTACATCGAGATGCGTGTGGGGTCGTTTACATATTTAAGTGCTGGCCGAAAGAAGAACCTCAATTTAAATTGCAAATGCTCAAATTAATGAAGGTTTCGGCAAAACATATGTCCGACAATTTTGCGTAAACACAGCTGTGTCTTTTAGTTTTACAGACGCGTGAAATACGTTAAAAATATATTCGCGGATATTTTCCGATACCTTCGAATACGTATCTATTGTTCGGAACTTTGATTACACTAAAAGTTTACTTATGATCTTACCGGCTTTACCTCACTCTCATCCTGAGAATTTAGCTAGCAACTTTCACGTCTCACAGGATATATCCAGACTTTTCTGATCACCTATTCTCAAGAGATACAAGTCTGTATTTTTAATCAGTACACGATGAGCGCCGCCATTTACCCTTCCCTTTCTTAACTTTATTGCTCAACTACCTACTTCTCCACCACGACGTTGTCTACTCCTTCGACCCGGTCTTCCACTACTTCGTCATCGGCGTCCCATCGGGCCAATAAGCGTCGAAGTTTCTACGCTAAATGGATAACAGGCTTGACAAATAATTATGAACTTCCTACAACGTTGCCAATGTCATTTCAATTAATTAAAGATTTATAAATTAGATTAATAAATAGAAAACGTGAGAGACAGAAAGAGATAAATTTAAAAATTCATAATAATATCAGTAATTCTTTTTTTAAACAACAGAAATTTTACTTTCAAAAAATATTAATTGCCCACTTCGAATAATATACGTCTGAAATCAATATGCATAGAAAATTATGCTTTTCATATTGATAAAAGATCTGAAAAATATTCCAGTGGCCACCCACTAATTAATCGAGAGCTCTTCTATAACCCACGCTGCGTGGGTTATGATATTTCTCTATCATTATCTGATAAAGCTACATTTGCTTTTAAAACTGTCAATGTGGACAAAAATTTGTCATTAATTGGTAATCTTTTACTAATTTCTTCAGCAGCGGTGACGTAAAATTGTAAACAATTTTCTCGTACATTTGTAATTACGTCGATGGTAGCAAGACAGAGACGTCCGCTCTCTCTCTATAGCCGAACGGCCGAGCGCACACAGACGCGTGACGTAAGCGCTTCTTACTTGTGTTGGGGCTCGAGAGCCGCGAGCCCGGTAGTAGATATCGCATCACTGCCCACGCATATATATGGATAATTTTCTCCGCAAGTAAAAAAAATACTGCATTTTATTAGTGAATTATTTTACCACTTAATTTCCCCCGCGGCGCATTGCTCGGAAATTAGTCTGACAATGAGGGATGTGGACACCATTTCAAATGCAAGCTCAAAATTGACATTATCAGAATAACAACGGTTTAACAAAACTGTTAAGCATAATTAGAATTATAATAGCATTCTGACAAACGCCGAAGAGAGGCCCATATTATTCTTAATTAACACTGTCAAGCATTATGACGGCTGTTAAAATGCTCTCAATATTTAGTGACATATTTAATATGATACAAAATACGTAGCGAACATATAAAAAAATACTTGATATTATTAATAACGTAACACATATATTCTATCGCATTTAACATGCATTCTTTATTTTAAAAATACTATTATTCTTGATACTTCTACGCATTTTGATATAGTAAAATCATTCGTTGCGCACAATCAATCAATGCATTTTCAATTATTTAAAATAAGTATGACGATATGCTTATGTTTACATCTTTTATCTTCTAATAAATAGCGTGCATGTTACTACGCAATAAAAGACAAAAGAACTATTAATTTTACAAAGCTGGATTAACTGTGATAATCTTTGCTACTTGCCTTCTCTAATATTAAAATAGAGTGAGATTAACAATCGTACGATACACATTCATAAAAAAAATGATATTCGCTTATTTCCTTAATTTATGAAAAAGATAAGTCATATTTTATTATAATATTTATATATAAATTAATATGGCATCGCTGAAATTTGAATAAAAATAATTCAACTGTAATCGTTAAATTATCTTGAAGAGATAACTAATTGTGCTATGAATATTAAAACTATAATATTAGAAAATGAATTGACAAATCAATTATAAAAGAATTATGGATCAACAGATAAATTATAGATAAATGCAATAAAAAATTATTATCTTATAAATATAAGTAATAATAAAATAAATTCAAATAAATGCAGAATAAATGTTCAAGTAAATGTCAAAATAATATAATATCTAAAAAATCTGTCTTGCATAAAAACTACATTATGCTAAAGTCTAATCACAGATCTGTTAATTAATAATCATTCAAATAAGTCATAATTTATTGGTGAGCATTCCCAAAATAATTACTGGTCCTATCGATACGCTATTTTCGCCAAGTCCTCTCCATGACAAAGCGAACCATCAAGGACAAAGCCATGAGAAAGATGATGACAGCCGCTGCAGCAAGGATAGCACCATATCCTGTTAAAAGTTATTTATCTTAGATTCTCCTTTGTCCATCTTTCAGCAATTTTTAACAGACATGATGCTAAATAATTTCAAATAGATATTGTTAATTATATTTAAATTAAACTTAATCTATCGATGATGTAATTGAACTTGTGCTTGAACTACGATAAAGTTAAAGCATCATTTAAAAATTATGCCTCTTGTTTATTATCAGTGCAAGAATTAAAATCCAAAAGATATCTACTTATATTTTAATATAAGCAGTAGCGTAGACAAAATAACAGTTTGTTGTTCAGTTTCTGTTTCTTCTACGCGCATCGTCGTATGCATTTTGAAGTTATACAAATTGATGCTACGGAGATACGACGAAAATGCTGACAAAATAAAGACAAAAAAAATTATACGTATTTTAATTGTGTAAAATTTTAGAATTATATAGTAAATAGATTTCACTGAAAGATGCGTGGTATAAAAAATTGTTTCAACGAGATGCTCACTTCGTGATTTCGTATCGTCGACTTTCTCCGCAATCTCATTGTCTGAGAGCGATTTTGCTCTCGGCATGTAGGAATCGAATTTGAACCTGTAAGGCGTTAAGGGCATCGGGTGTGACGCGTGCTGGCCGTCAATCTCCTCGAGATGGAAAGCCGTAGCTGGAAGGGAAGCTTGAAAAGGTGTCAAAGGAATTTCCACTCTGCAAGTTTCCCTATCCGGGGAGTACAAATCGCTGAATGAAAAAAGTCCATATGGCCAGCCGACGTGATTTGGCGGCGTGACTGCGCTGTAAGGCGGCGGAATTGCAGTGTAAGGCGGCGGATCGTCATTATCTTGATTATCGTTTACGATAATCGAAGGCGACGCTATCACGGCAATCAGATCGCTTGAGGCTTCTCCGATCTGTGTGTTACGATCTAATCTCGGAAATTTATCCTGAGACATCAGCCTTGACGACGAGATGTCACCTTGACATCGCGTGCCAGATTGTAGTCTCATGCATGGATTTGACGTGTCATGGTGTGTATCCGCTAACAATTGCTCAGTTTCCGGACTTGCCGGGACATCTGCAATTTAAATCAAAACATACGCATCTTTCACGACATTTTTCTAATCTCTATTCAATTGTTCCAAAGTGAATGAAAGTTTGCTGAAATAAAACTGAACATACCCAAACAAAAATTTATATTGCTTACATCATTAAGTTTTACTGTTTAAAAAATGAATACTATACTCATATAGAATGTAAAATAATTGCAAAAATAATCTTATAAGTCGCATAATAAATTTTGTCAATCGATTTAGACACAGCATTCGTAGAGTACAGCACTCAACTAAAGACAGCCTATACAAAGATTTTTAAATGTTTATTTATGCTAATCAGTTTGGACAAACACAGACGCGAGTAAGCACTGTATTGAATAATATATTTTTCTAGTTTGCTAAAGGACTTTTTTTAATGCTATTTATAGATATTTTTAAATATTTTTAATGCTATCATTTGTAAATCTCACGACAAAATGTAAAATTTTATGAATCGATTAAGACACAGCAATCGTAGAGTACAGCATTCGGCTAAAGAAACCTATAGAAAGATTTTTATATGTTAATTTATGCTCATCAGTTTGAACAAACACTGTCGTGAATAAAAATTATATCAAATAATATATTTTTCTAATTTGCTAAAGAATTTTTTTTAATGCTGTTTATAGATATTTTTTTTAGATATTTATAGCTGTTTTTAAATATTTTTAAAGCTATCTTTTGTAAGTCTCACGCGACAAAATGTAAAACACGGGCCGCTCGAAAGATAATCGCATGCACGCTATATGTAAATTACAAGATTAACTTTAACTTACGACATACACCAATAGCACAGCATTACGTCGACAAAATTTAAATTATTGATGGCTCAAATATTTTTCTGATTACAAATGCGTGTGTGACGTAAGTCATAATCTCGTGAAACATGATACAAACAACAACACTACGACAACCATAATTCAGTTTTATATTCTTTTTGTTCCAGTCGATGCACGACTTCCTTGTTTTAGACGGATACGACTAGTCGTAAGTTTATTATGCGATCTTAGTATTTGATATCGTACGAGTATAACTTTGTATATCCGTTGCATGAGCACATACATTGCATGTATAACCACCAAATGCCTTGAAACTACTTTCATTCACGAAGGACAATTAGACGATTTAGTAAATACGCAACACAAGAGCTTCTATTGCTAAATTTTTGTTTTGAAATTCATATATACACATTAAGATAATTTGAATACGTAAACTTAAAAAAAAAAACATTAATTTTTTTCTGAAATTTTTATCATCATATTTATCATCCGCATCATTGCTTGATTATGAACGCGCAAAGAAAAGAGAGAGAAAAGGAGAAAGAGAGAGAGAATGTTTTTGACAATCATTTCGTAGCGCTTTTGGTACACGAAAAGAATACTTTTGCTCAAAAATTTAAAAATTAGGTCAGATACAGATACTGAAAATAAATTTCATTGAACTAAATTACATTTAAAATTTATCAATAGCACTTAAAAATTATCAACGCTCGAAACTTTCTACAGTAATATGAAAAAGACTAATAAATTTTTATATTGATAAATTTTGATCATTCAGCAAAATTTTCAGATCTGTATTTAGTACAATTTTTAGATCCTTCAGTAAAAGTTCTTTCCGTACGCATTACATGGTTTGCCATCAGACTACTCTGACAATGAGATAAAGAATATATTTAGCGCGAAATTATACAATAATTTTTTACAACGATAAACGGCTAATAAATACGAAAAAAAGTATAGTAAGTAATACAAAAGTTTTCAAATTGCGACTTTTTGGTATTTAAACGCTGACGCCGGTTATTGAACGTTACATGTAGATATCAAGTCCTTGGGAGTCAGCAACCGATGTATTACCTTCACACCGCTAAAGCGCAGTGGCGCTGAAGAAACACTTTCTATTACCGTGCACCGTGCACACTCGTAAGTAGTAACGTGTGCCGAATTCCCGCGCCTCGCGTTGCGTCAAGCATATGCGTCCACTTTAAATGCGCGTTTCACCAAACGCACCGGCCGCTTTCCATTTTGTGCGATTCGTAATGCAATCTACTCGCGATTAAATAATATTGATTTCTAGTATAAGACAAGAACGGTATATTTGCATACGTAACATTTGCATAAAAATGTTTTGATGTATATCTATTGGTTAGCAAAGAATTATTAGATTGATTCAATGAAAATTCTCTTTCTAGATATCAGAGCATAAAATTGACACCGTCAAAATAAACAATGTGAAAACTAGAAAATAAATTTTAATATCTTTTAAACGGGAATATATAATATAACACAGATAGTTTATATAATAAAATTTCTCATATTTGATGTGCAGAATCTTCTCACTACTTCACCTTATATTTAACAATATTTCTCTCATAAGCCAGACGTTTTAAAAAACTCCACAGTAAAAACAGTAACTTTTAACAATTCTACGGAATCTTATTGCACAATATCGCACACACGATGTCACTCAAGATTCGACTGTTACATGCGAAGATCGTAAAAATTACGAAAATCGAAATTTACGCAATCGAGACAAATCGCGAACACGGCGAACCGGTTTGCTTCTCTCGGACGTCAAAATATCAAACGTACCCGACAAAATGCACTAGATAAAAATTTTACGGTAAATCTATCGTGCGCGCATACCTTTTCCAGCGTTCTTCAACATTTCTCTATACTATGCGGTTCGAGCGACGACTGAACGACGAGAACGTCGCGAGTTTTGCGTGCGTCCGTGATACGACTGACAATCACGACGATACACTTGTCGTGCGAATGTGTACACTCACGCATGTACGCACGCACGTATGCCGATCGGAAACCGATAATAAGGAGACGCGTCGCGATGATGGCGTTTGAGACAACTGAACGAACGGCGCACACAACACGCAGCGAAACTACAATCCACAGACCAATCGGTGAGTGATACGGACACGATGAGGGGGCAAACACGTGACTAGCCGTACTGATTCCGTAAGATCGCGGAGAACTCCCGATGACCGCGAAAAATTTCCAATGACCGTAGGCGTTGAAGGTTATAAGCACGTTAGCTTTCGTGTAAAAGGACTGAATGATCTCACGGATCAAAGATCGATAAATTAGAAAGTCCATTTGTGTTTAAGTAGTCCTAACAGACACACACAAGTTTCAATAACAATAATTAAGTCATACCGTCAAAAGTTGAATAAATAGCTAAATTGTCAAATTCAATGTTAAACATTCAACATGAATCGCGTATGTTTGTAAATCGATTATCACTATTGTCATTCTCAGTACAGTAATTAACTTTACGTAATATGATAAACAATCAATGATAATGATGAAACTTTATATTGCAAAATATAATTTTCAATTTGTTACTTATTCGTGTACCAAACAACATGAAATCACTGAATAAGTTTAATTCGTGTTAAGGTTGAATAAGAAATAGGTTAAGGTTAATGGCCGGTTTAGCGAATGACCTTAATGTAAACTCCGTAATGAAAACTCCTATTATACAAATAGTATTGCATAAATAAACGAGCAACGGACGCTGCAAACTTTGCGTCGCTGTAAAGCCTTTCGTGCAATAAATTATATACTGATCAAGATGTTGATGCAATTAAAAACAGTTATATTCTGAAACATGCGTAGCGCGTGACAACAAAATAAAACATTTAAAAATAAAATTTTTACAAAATTTCAAGTCTTTACAATAATTTACATATAATAGAGTTACTCTGCGTCATAATCACCAATTAACATCAAATACCCGGAAGAAAACTTAGAAATGTGATCAATAATATTTAAATCACTGGCAATTACCTATTTGACGTAAATTGACAATTGATTCAATAATTATCGTGAACGATAAATAAGTAAGCAACACATAAACAGTCACTTCTCAGAATATTGAAATGACTTTTTTGTGCTTACTTTAGTTAGACTTAATTTAAATGTATTTATCGCGTCGTACTAGCGTTTGCATTCTTTGGAATATTCCATTAAATTTATATGACAAAATATAGCAGATATGTCTTTATATCGCCTTAGTATTGTCATCATATCTTATAATCAGACAATTATGCTTACGATGAATAACACACCTTGAATACTTAAGGCTCCTGGTCCCGTAGCCGTGAACTCCGCGTTGACAGTGGCGACATAATTGTGGTAGGAATAAAAACCTAGTCGAATTTACCTAGTCGATTTATTGTATAAGTAAATAATGTAACAGTTTGACCTAATCAATTGATACGATAAAAGTAAATTACTGAATAACATACAAAATGCTAATTTATAATTCAAAAATTTGTTTACAAAAAAATAAACGACGATAAATACAGAATATATATAGCTTAGTACCGTTACCGACATGTCCATATGACAGAAATTCTCATGCAGCGTCTTAGGTGGAGAATCGATGAACTATTAGACGTGAAAAAATGACATGTTGACTACCCAATTTATTCTTGCGCGCCATTTCGTTAATATTCGTTAAATGTTAGTGCTGTAATATGTGACGTGTTCATGAAACCTGTAAAATTATCCGAAAACTAAGATTAGCAGGGAAAGCCCAACGTAGAAGGAGTATTTTCTACTCATACAGACAGCTGTCAACCGTGTGTTTTCTCGCATAATTAGGCTTCGCTTCACGGTTGATTTAACGATCGTTTATAACCTGTCAAGAAAAAAGCATAGTTTTCGGACGATTTTACAGGTGTCTTAAAGCGATCTAGAGTG